GTATCAAAAAAAACATAGAGCTCAAATCAGGTTTGCTTGAACCCAATCTGAGTTCAAGTAAACCTGATTTGTGTTTATTCGAATCCCCAGTTGATAACCCGATAATAAGCTACCCCTATCGGCTAAGCATAAACTCTTTAAAATCTGTAAACCCCGAAAATAAGCTACTATCTATTTTTTATACTCAAAAAAGCTTAAAAAATGGTAGCTTATTTTCGGGAATCTACGGTATCCCTATACATGACGCAACAATTAAATTTTAGGATTTTGACTTTCAGATTTTAACTTTCAGAATTTTGACTTTTAGAATTTTGACATAGACCTGGGGTAGGGTTGTTAAATTAATGTAAGTTACATGTAAGTTATTGTAACTTACACTGTAACTTACACTATAACTTACCTGACTTAAGTAACTTACATGTAACTTACCATGTAAAGTAAGTTGTCAGGTAAGTTTTAACAACCCTAACCTGGGGTAGCGATATATTGCTACAACAGTAAATTACAAAAACCCTTAAAAAAATATTTATTTTAGAAATGGCCTTGAAAATTAAAATTTATAAGTATATACAACTTAGTCCCAACAAATAAATTTGAATAACTTCAAAATGCTAATTCTTATTCACAAAAGATTTCTTCATAAACATTAAATTTATTCAAGTTAAACATCTTGAAGATCTTAAATTTTTTTAAAAATTATTTGTAATAAAGTATATAGTAGAGAATTAAAGTCAGAAATTTTATAATTAAACGAGCCATTTGATGACTTAAAATATACTAGTAAATATACTAGTAAACAAGCAAATTTGTCCACTTTATATATGCTAAATTTGTCTACTCTATATATTAAATTGACTATTTTAAATTAATAATTTAGCCACTTTATGTTAAAATTTCAAATTTGGCCATAACCATATACATATATTAGGTGGGTTAGTCATGGCAGAAAAATGTCGCGGTGACGTGATCGGCGACCACTTACGACCCTGATAATACAAATTACGTATTACATTGAAATGATTATTACAGTATTAGTCTTTCATACAATCATTTTAACATAATACGTAATTTGTATTATCAGGGTCGGAAGTGGTCGCCGACACGTCACCGCGACATTTTTCTGCCATGACTAACCCACCTACATATATTGCTGAAACTGCCAATTTAGCAACTTTAGGACTACTTTAAGATAGCTATAAAGTATCTATAGAGTTACTTTATAGTAACTATAGTTTTACATTTGCTATATGTTAGCAATACGCCTACTACTACTTGCTACTACTTTGCTACTATGTTATATAATTTCATAAAAAATTTTTTTAAAAAAAAAGTTTCGTAACTTTTTTTTTTAAAAAAAATTTTTTATGAAATTATAGTAAAAGTATAGTAACATAGTAGCAAAGTGGTAGTAGGCGTATTGCTAACATATAGCAAATGTAAAACTATAGTTACTATAAAGTAACTCTATGGATACTTTATAGCTATCTTAAAGTTGCTAAATTGGCAGTTTCAGCAATGTAAAAACTAAATTTCATTTGTTTGTCCGTTCTGTACATCACGAGATTACCCGATCATGATTATTTCCAAATCATTTTTTTCGAGCTCTTTCTTTCTAATTGTATCTTTTCACTTAGTTAATAATTATGTAGTGGGACTTCAAAATTAAAATCAGAAAATATTATTTTATTTTTTTTCGATTTATAATTCAACATAGTAAAAATCTATTTGAGAAATCCTACGTATTTATTTTTAAAATGCGCTACTTATTTGTTAATTTTGAAACCCCAATGATCTGATTTTATTTCGTTGATGATTTTGATGGTTACGCTAGAAGGATCAAGTGTAACGATAATATATAAATGGGTTTCTTTTTTGAAGTAAAATCAAGTGTAGTCTAGTTCAAGTTTGCTTAAATTATAAGTGCTGACAAAATAGCTTCAATTACGTATGTTGCTGATTTGCATTTAGGCATACTTATATTATGATAGATCAATACAAAAAAAATAAAATAAAATAAAATAAAAAATTAGAATAAAATTAGAAGCTATGTCACATAAACCTGGAAAAAATAAGCGTAACATAGTAAGAAACGTTCCCAGCCAACTAGATTCTAACAATTTAGACACTCCGTCTCACTACATGCCTGGCATGCTAAATTACGGAATCTAATAATTGTTTACAATAAGAGTTAAAAATCAAAGATTATACACATGACCCTCATTAATATCAACCTACGTTAGTGTCAACCTAAGCCACAAGACAAATTGTTATAAATTTTTATATATCAAAATTCCCTCATATATATGATCCCTCACTAATATCACTATCAACACGAATACGTATAAGAGCATAAGAGTGATCCAAATGGGTTGATATTAGCGAGGGTCAAGTGTATTACTTTTTAAATTATTTACTCTTACGACACATCCATATCACAGCGAAACCTCACTAAGTGCAACCTTATTAAATGTAACATCCTTCTAATTGCAATTTTGAATCTCGGTTCAAATATATACTTGATCTCTATAATCGCTTTTTTTTTTTGTTCTTTAAATGAATGTTGCCCAAAGTTCAGTCCGAGTTGCATTTAGAAAGTTTTACCGTATAACGTTTTAAGAAGATTTTCCGTCTCACTACGTTTTTGTGATTCGCATCACTAAATTCATATTCTTAACCATCACCCAATCAAAATCACGATTTTGCACACACGCCATTCTAGATACACGTTGTATCGAGTATGTATAATTAATAAAATATGGGCAGCAAATTGAGAAATACCAGTCTACTAGTAGATCGGCATGTTCATATAGATAATAATATATAAAACATTTATTTTTATATATAAAATTGTATAAGGTTAATTTTAATTAGTTGATATATACCATATAATCAAACAATAATTCATTTCACTTAGGTAGTTTGTCAGTAACCTTATTAAGAAAATAACACTAAGGTTATGCAAATTTATTTTATATATTATTCGAAAATCAATTAATACGTATAAAATGCACCTATGGTGTTTATGGTGTTAATAAGTTTTTTGCTAAATTTTAGGGTTAGGGTGTAGCTACAAAGTAAGATAGGGTTAAGTTCAAATTTTAGTTAGCATAAAGTTTTTGGAGGTCCTGAGGTGTGTTAGCTAGTACGTTTTTGAGATATAGTAACTATGGTGTTCAAAACCAATGGTGCATTTAGTAGTCTCGTCAAAAATATGCATGAAAATTTATAATTTGTGAATTAATCCATAAATTCAGATTCTGTTACTAATAATTGTTGACCTGCATCTCTTCCACACCATTATCATCCTCTATTATTTCGGTAAAAATACAATTATTCTCTGATCCGTGCGATAACGAGGAGGTATCACCGTTCAATTCAAGTACCCAGCTTTCTTTACTTCTTATACATTTTGTCAAAGAGCACGTAGCACAATTTATCACAGCGTTCGGTTGTTTAATTAAAGCTTTCGCCCCAGCGACTAATGATGCCGCGTGTACGATTATCAAGACGCATTTGATATTCTCTTCCGCACCTATCAAACTTTGCATAGTTCTATCCATCCTCCGGTGAAGTTCTTGAAAAGTTTCACCATTATTAGGTAGCTTTGTTATAGGGATATATGTAGGATTGATGCGTGGAAAGAATTCACGTAAAAGAGAAAGTGGTGCACAGCCAGGATAAATTTTTGTCTCAAAGGGATCATACCATTCGCTATTATATATTCAATAATGACAAATCAATTCTTTCAAATAGGTACCAATTTTTTATACAAGATGTTTATTAACATCATCAAATAAACCAACCTTAAACCATATTCAATAAAAATTTCTAAATCTAATTTCTCTGCAATTATGCTTGCAGTTTGTAGTGTACGATAAAGAGGACTAGAATAGATGCGATCAATCTTTATATTGTTTTTCACAAAATATTGACCAAGTTCTAGAGCCTGATTGCATCCATGTTCACTTAGTCTAGGATCCCAGGGTAAATTTGTCGGGTAAGTCACAACATTACCAATTGGCATAATCCAATCCATTCGATGGCCATGCTTAATAAGAAAATAATATTAGCCTTAATAAATATGTTACTTTACCATCCACTTAATGGAATCATTTTCTTACCCGCGCAAAATAGATTGTTTCTAGCATTTTCTACCGAAAGAAGTCGAAGGGAGGAAAAAAATCTGCGATTTTTATGAATAGTGTAAATATTTATATCAAGTTTTACTATAGATTAAAATCTTAGATAACAGTTTTATATTAAAAAAGATTAGACTATTAGAAAAAATCATTAACCACAATAAGCGCCTTGGCAATCACGGGCTGATTCGCTGATGTAAATCATTTGCCTCAATAAAATACTTTTACATAATTTTTATATGTATAAATTGCTTATTAAAACACTATCCCTTTTACCGATTTGCAGGCAAATTTGCCTGCAAATTTTTGATCAAAATTGTTTTTGCTAGTGCAACTTGCAAAAATCATAATCTAGGCCTATGTGTAACATTATTGTTGGCAAAACTACTCACAAAGAGCTTTCAGCCAATACCACTTTTAACTATTTTTAATAGCAAACCGCCTTTATTTTCCTTTTAGTTTAGCGAAATAACCCCTGCAAAAGTCATATGCCTGTGTTACCTAGTTAAATCACAAGCCATTACAGGACGTGATGTTTATACTTATCGGTTATTAGATCTACAACCTTAAGTGCAAAATTGCGAACTTTTAAAAAAATTAAAGAAGTTTAACTATAACTTCTTCTCTAATCAGTTTGAGTTAATAGTTCCGAATTATGATGGAATAAATCCACTATCTTAACATTAATAAAATAATCAAATTAAAGATTGTATTGATGGTATTAGTAATTAGCATTCGGTATATTGAGTTAAATATGCTAAAAAATTAAACTTTAAACTTTATGGTTGAATTTTAACTTTAAAGTTTGAGATAAGATTTTCTATAAATATATTATGGTGAAGTTTACCTCCGGTGAACGTAAGATAAATTCTAAACAATTAATCGTATGTAAGCGAAAAAAAAATAAGGAATTAATATTTCAGGTCAAATTAAACAAAATTACAAAACGTGATTGTAACACTATGTATAATCATGAACAAGAAATAAGCGATAGCGACTCTGAATTTAGTGAAGATGAGCTTGAAGTGTATTTTTTACAAAACCATCATAATGAACATTTGATAGATGGCTTTCCAGTAAATCCCGAATATCCAGCTCAAGAAAGCGATGAGGAATCAGATCCTCAAAATAATTTATCTGTGATACCAGCAGTTGATACTGTTAGAAATCGGGGGCAAAGCAGAGGACGACCACGCGGATCAAGAGCTAATCGTGGTGGTAGATCTAGTCAACAAATTAGTCTACCAAACCCACCAGAGTTTATTTTTTTACAGCACAGACTTCCTTTTCGTGAAAGAGGGTATCCAATTCTTCCTGGCCATTTACAGCAGCTTGGAATAGTAACCCCTTTAATGTTATTTTATGAATTTTTTTCAATTGAATCTCTTAGACAGATAGTAGAATCAACAAATAAATACAGTACTATTCAAAATTCAAAAGGTAAAGGACGGGTATGGAATGTACTTAATATTAATGAATTGCAAATTTGGATTGCCATTGTTATTTATATGGGCATACATAAAATATCACCACTCGAATCTCTCTGGATTAAAAATAATCAATACCCTACACACTATATTTCAAATTTAATGTCAATAAATCGATTTGAACAAATAAAATGTTTTTTACATATATCAGATCCAACCGGTTCACATCCACATTGGTACTCAAAAGTTGAGCCTCTTGCTTCATCTATTTGAGATACATGTAAAAGAGCATACATGCCAAGTTCAAATGTATCCGTAGATAAGATGATTGCCCGTTTTACTGGAAGAAGTGTACATACGGTCTGTATGAAATCTAAACCTACCCCCAAAGGTTATAAGATTCTATCATTATGTGATTCAGGATACACATGGACATTTTCTTTTTTATCATGTGTTGAAAGGCAACAAACCTACCTACTGTTCAAAGTATTAATGAAATAGGTCGGCATGTTTGCTACTTAGTATTTCAACTTCTACTTCAATCATATGCTTTTACAATATATATGGACAATTTCTTTACATCAATTCCATTATTCCAACATTTGCGAAATAATGGAATTGGTGCATGTGGAACAGTTCGCACAAACTCTGCTAAGTTTTCAAAAGAATTAAAGATTCTGAATTTAAAATCTTTTAAATGGGATACACTTTCGGGTGTAGTTGTAAATAATATGCTTGCAGTTCTTTGGATTGACAATGGACCAGTAACAATATTAAGTACAGTTCATAATATTACTGAAAGTGAATCTCGAGTTAATTGCTGGCGTCGATGTCCACGGGAAACTAGTTCAAATGCTAAAAAAGTTAGAGAAATTTTTGGTAGCTCTTCATGAAAGCAGTTACCAATTCCAAAACTTGTTAATGATTATAATCACTATATGGAAGGTGTTGATATTGCTGATCAATGACGTTCATATTTTCTTTCCCAACTTAGAACACATCAAAATTAGTTTCCACTATTTTTTTGGCTACTTGATACATCAATTGTTAATGCCCATATTATTTATACAAATTCTAATAGTAATAATACACAAAATCTACTAGATAGTGAAGAATTTTGTATACATCTTGTTTGGGAACTTATACAAGCTTCAGTAAGCCAAGTTCTTAATACAAGAAATTCACAATATTCAATTACTAATCCTCCTGTTTCAAATGTTAATGTTGCTTATGTTAGTATGAACTTTGAGCTTTCAACATGCCGACAATTGCCTAGCAAGCATTTTTAGAGTAGAGGGATAAATGAGAGGAATGTATTTGGTGTCACTATCTTGCGAAGGAAAAACAAAAGGAAATTGAAAGTAAGAACTCTCCACAAACAAATATGTGGTGCCATGAATGCAATATTCCACTATGCTGCAACAAAACAAGTTCATTTTGTAATTACGAGTTTCATACATTTGGTAAATGATTTTTATAAGAAAGTTTTTAGGATATATACTTTCTTTTCAATAAGATACATTATAGATAGAGTAAAAACTCATTTGTAAGATTAGTATTTCTGAATCATTAAACTCGCTATTGATTATTTATACAAATTATTTACACCATAATGATAAATAGTCGCATAGTAAGAATTACAAGATTATAGATTGGTTCATAATAATAAATAATTGTAAGCATAGTTTTTAGTTTGTACAATTTGTAATTCAGATAGAGTGCTTAAAATTGGGGTAACATGTTTTTTTTATGATTAGTCTTGAATTCTCAGTTATATGCATTATTATTCTAAAATAGCAAATAAGTAGCCAACAGACTAGCAGGTTAGCATATTGAAGGTTTGATTTAAAGAAGCATTGTATATAACGGATATACTATGAATGTATGTAATTCTTGCATAATGAATGCTATAGATAATACCAATATACTAACTAAAATACTTCGATATTTTTGTATAGAATATATTTTTTTTCAAAAAATAATGCCTAAAAAAATCAATACAGTATTAATATATATGTTTTTTAAGGTCAAATGAAAAAATATAGGATATGTTTGCTATTAATCCAAAGAGCTTTGGCTGTGAGAGGCTAAGTTCTGGCTATTTTATTTAAGATTTCCCTGATTGGCTAATGGCTAATATATTTAATACTACAGTTTAAAATTCCATTATTTTGATATCCGGCAAATTCTAAATGGCACATCCAACAACAATTTATGACTCGGTTAGATTATTAATGCATATGATTTTAGCAGAAGTAAATATGTATGATTATTGGATAAATTTTTGCAGGCAAATTTGTCTGCAAAAGTCTACGGTAAAAGGAATAAAAAAAAATAAATAAGTTAAACCTCTAAGATAAATAACATTCAAAAAACATAGTATTAGGTTTAAAATATAACCAACAGCAAAGTAAGAAGGTTTGGATCAAAATCCTGACAAGCGAAATCCCGACATATCATAATCCCGACAAAAAAATCTCAACAGCAAAAATCCCAACACTCAAAAATTTTGATAAAAAAAATATCATAATCATAGCTAACCCAAGCCTAACCCTTATCTAGAGTGACCTAACCCTAAAGTTAATTAAATTATAAGAGTCTACTTCACTTTAAACATACTTCATATTTGGGATGTTCTATCTGAAAATTCTGATTGTCGGGTTTTTAATTGTTGGGATTTTTGACTGACAGGATTTTTTTGTCAGGATTATGACCTGTCGGGATTGTGCTTGTCAGAATTTTGACCAGCACCCGACTAAAACAAGATACTGCTACTACAGTCTAATTGCTACAAAAACCAGGTATTACTCCTTGCACTGCCTCGGAGCCTAATCACTACAAAACAATATCCTTGTACTATAGCAGTAGCAGCAGAGCTTCATAGTTACAAAATAAAAAACTAAACCAAGACCAGGTCTTTACACTATTATTACCCGACATTACACCTTGTCAGACAAGTTAACCACTGCACCGTGGGCGGGATGAGAAAGATGATAGAGTAGCCTTCTTGCAAGGCAAGCAATAGCAAAGAGTAAGATAAACTGTTTTTACTAAAAATATCACACTTAAATACACTGCATAACATCCAGTGTTAGGCTCTGAACCAAAAGTCCACTCTATTGAACTTATAAACTGGACTACTGGACTTATAAACTGGACCACTGTATCTATAAGTCTAGTTTCAGTTTAATTCTACTGGACTTATAAGAAAGCCCAACACTGATTACATCTCTCTCCCTCTATTCCACTGATCTGATTCACTCCTGATGCCATATGAAATTTTTCGTTACTTTAGCACTAATTTTTTAACATTCATATCTGTTTGCCACTTAACAATCATTAAATTAACCAAGAACAACCTGATCTAACAAGAACAACATAGCAAACAATTACAGTTCATAAAAGGCTGGTCTAAACATGTGATCCATAAAGTTATCGGATCTCACAATTTGATGACAAGCTACTCATTATAAAAAAATTAAATTTTCTTTGTCAAGAACATCTCATCAATGATAGTAATAACAATTGAAACTTATTAAACATTAATTATCCATTTTTTAATTACTAAGATTATCTTTACTAAGATTATCTAATATTATGCTCCAGAATAAGGATTGGTTCGGTTACGGTTGTAACTATTTAGTTGCGGTTATTAACCGTAACTAGTCAGAGCGGCTGATTGAACCAATAGGATCGGCATTTTAAATATAATTTCACACGCTAATGATGGCATGTGAATACACTATGTCAGTATGTATTATCTTAACTCCTACTAGATTTGGATAAATGAAAACCTAAAAAAAACACAAAATTCGCAACAAAACTCTTTCCGTCAATCACTTACACAAAACTTAACTAAAAATTTGTCAGTTAAAAATCTTTAATAACACATTAAT